TCCAAGAATTAAGTGTTTTTTCCTTAAAGTATTGAAAAAACGAAAAACTAAAACGTTCTGTCGCTTTATTGGCGCGTGTATGTGATATCTAATAATTGTATTTGTCAGGTTATTTGTGACACGTTTAACCTATTTATGCAAACTTTAACATGTTTCAATCCACCACAGTATTTTTCTTTTATTTGTTTGATTTTTTCAGATGTTCCAGACGTCTCACAGTTTAACCGCCGAAAGAATAATAATTAAAGCACACAATAATCGCACAATTTCACAGAGCTGTAAAAATCTTATTCGAATAAAAATATATATTCGAATAAAAAATTATTCCAATTTATTTGTATTCAAATAATGTATTATCAAGATAATTGTTTAAAAAACGTTTTGGTCGAGCAACGCACAACTCTGATTGTTCAGACCATGGAAAAAGATGTATAAAATAACTATGTTTCTTTAACATTTGACTTGTGAATATTATTATTATTAAAATATATTGTTATTAAATAATACAACCGAAGTCAAATCAAAATGATTTTTTTAGCAGATAACTAACAATTTTATTTTTTAAACGTTCGATAAAATCAGTATTTTATTAAGCGATTACAGGTTGTGTAGAAATCAAGTTGCTGTAACTAGTTAGTCGGACAATAAGTATTTCAAAAGACCATTTCAGTTTTAGTAAGGGGGGGAGACGTAAATACCAACTATGCACCCTCAATTTACACACTATAAGGACCCTAGAAGACGAGTGGTACAAGTGTAATTTTTTTTATTAAATCGATTTCTGTTAAGTGCTCATTCTGTTATATAATAGTAATGTTCTTTGTACGGACCCATATGAATACCATTTATTGCCTCGAGTAAACGGCAACAGTAATTATTAAAATAATCTGCTGTATTCAAAGGCTTCTAAATAAAAGACGATTATTATTATAATAGTAAAACGGATTGTGTATTCAACTGAGTTTATTTAAAAATTACAAAATATATATTATAATCTTTGGCTTCTGAAGGTCTCACACAAAATGTTAACATTTATTTTAGTATTGTACGAATAACATCTATAACGTCAGAACATTTTTTCTGGCGTTTTTTTCAAGATTTCTTCGAAAATAACAAGAGCTATTTTTAAAGGAATAGTATACCTATAATTCGCCTTTGAAATTTAACTCAACCTAAAACACCTATTGTTAAGAAATTGTTACTGATAAATATTACTATAAGACTCGATATTAGAAACCATTATTATTATTATTTTTTTTTTCAATGAGTTATTTATTATTTCTTCGTTGTGCCGATAAAATTTTAAGAATTTATGGTGGTTTCATATTGTTTACTGTTACACAAGAAAATAAAGCTTTTATATCGTCTACATTTTATTCTATGGAATCTTAACAGTGTCTTGATGACCCTTTCTTTATTTTCATACTTTTAATAAAAAAAAAAAAAAAGTATGAAATGATTAAAAGGAAATCTTTTATGAGATGGACCACGTACGATATTAGTTTTACCTTAAAAAAATAGTTATTTTCTAACACTCGTCCTTCCTATTACTTAATATAATTGATGTTAATAATTCGCTGTACCCAACAAAGATCTGAAGTTCTCAGAGGTTGATCTGCTTCAGTATTTTTAATATCTACGCTATCTGGATACGTAAATTAACCAGATATTATTCTCTATTATTCTCTGATTCATTATCTATTTCACTATTGTTTTCCCCCTTTTTTTTTTGTGTGTGTATCTTTTTGTTATATTATAAATAGTTGTGTCGCTGTTTATTTATTTTATCATTATTATACGTACAACTATTGTACCGTCGTGATGTGCGCACATTATTGGCTTTATTATTAATTATTTTTTATGAAACAAAAAATAATAATAATATCTCATTATGGATTTTCGAAGGAATCGCTATCGTTGGGAACTGGCAAACATTGCAATCCCGAACAGCCAGCAGTCCCGCTCGGCCCGTATATAAGCTGCGCCGCATCGTCGTACGTCGTTCCCAATGGTGATTTATCGGGTTTTTGAAATTTAGCCGGCTTGTCTAATACCAAGGACACCGTGGCACGCACATGCACGCGCACACATTTCACCATTATCCGAAGGATTCCAGCTGTCAAGTGTATTGTTTTAATAAAACGGTGGCTCCCGGGACCGGCGCGGTAAGGGCGAGGCGGGTCGGCTTTATTGGCCGATGTCGGCCGAATAAATTGGGAGCATCAGTTTTGATAAAGTTAATCACTTTTTCGAGGTACGAACAAGTGAACGGGCGGGAATGCGCGAGAACAGCAAGACGCCGAGGTTTAACCAGATGATGATAGCCACCCTCCTCACGTAGACGAATCTTCTGATAGTACAACAAGTACATCAGCTGTTTAATTATTTTTCCGGTCGTCCGAGATCTGGAATTTCTCCGGCCCGTCAATTTTACGTTGAAATTGTCTCCAAGTTGCGAACAATTTACAAAACAAAAATCATAATTTAATTTTGTGTTAAAAAAAAAAGACTAAAAATTCTTTATCAATTCTGTGACTTGTTTACGAGTCTCAGCAAAATATGAAATTTAATGAATACTCAACTTAAAATACGTATTAGACAAATAATCCAAATGTACAATTCATGAAGCCAGATTAGAATTCAATGAACAGTTTTAAAATCATGTTTGTATTTTCATCGTTGTTCTAAAATAGCGTTAGGGGTAGTACTTATGTACACAGTGGCACTTTGTCATTTGTGCTCTAACCTACACGCTAACATAAATTATTTAAAAAACTACAATTTTTTATGGTAATCGACACAAAATTGTTCAATTTTATAAACACGACTTAAAAATATTTCTTTAACGTAAAAAATTAATTTAAACATGTCAGGTAATGCAATTAGACACCGCAATGTCAAATAATAACTAAATTAATGTTGTCGTGCGGTGTTATTACTTCACAAAGTTACCCACTCTGTTGGTTTATACTAAATATCCTACTGAATCCAAAAATATTATATCTTTTACTAAACGGACACGAATAGTGTTATTCAAACCCTCTGATCAAATCAATCTCAACGTTTCGGTACATTTTTCTTCGATGTCGAATGTTGCTTAATGTATCAGACATTGTGTTATGTGCATTACGCGAGGTATAGGTGTAGATTAGACGTCAAGGGACTGACCGGGCGAAGATGGGGGAATTCCCGGGAAGCCAATGCGTTCGGCGCGGAGTAAAGTTTAAATTAAACCTTTAATCTTGATAATGCTCGGGGAACTCGTTTTTGTTGTGAAACCTCTCTCTTTCTCGCCCACCATGCTCTGTCTCTGTCTCACCCCGTTCGCCTGCAAGTCCACCGCCACATCGTCCCCGGCAAATATAGTGAAATGTAATACTATTTTTGGGGTGATCCGAGGTAGGGGCACGAAAAAAACAAAAACGCGTATACATTATAACGCAATTTAATACACTACGGCAGAGGGTTGTTGCCGAGGCGATCGCGCGTGGGTCGGACACGGTGGCCGATGCACTTAAATGCGGGGTCGGCGGTGGAAAAATCCGCGTGTGGGGTGCGGTGAAGTATAGCAAGCATATAGCCCCAGACGGCATGTATGACGGGTGTAATAACACGGCGACAGATTATTGGATTTCGCATACCGAACGCCACTCACAGGGTACCACGTCTATTGGTGAACACCGACCGTTGTCGGCGATTCGGAATACAAGAAAACGATTATCTGAGATACCTACATGCTTTTACATCTATTCCAAATATTGAATACAGCCGTTTCGGAAAATATTACCGACGCATAAAGCCCGGGACGGAGTGCGGATGTCGGAGGCCAACAACCTAAAGCGTGCCTGTATAAACCAAAAAAGTAAAACGAAAACAGTCGGCTCGATTTTTTTTTTAATCGATACTTTTGACGGCGCCTTCGTATAATCGTTGAGACAGTAAATATCAATTTCACCACCACCGGTTTAAAAAAGAAAGTTTGTTTTCAGACACAGAATTCAGCAATTAGGTCGAAAACAATTTTTACCTTTATTGTGTGTTCATTAGCATTATGATTTATTTTTTAATTTATGGAATTTTCAAACAACGCGTGGAATTATGTTGCATGAACAATGAAGTGAAATTAAAAAAAAACATTTTGACTTCTCATATTAAACTTTAATAAATCATAGTTAGATATTGTGTTCAGTGTGTATAATACTTTATAAACATTTCGCTATTAGTTATCATAAAAGACCAATACGGAAACCATTATGAGACATGGAAGCGGGTATTAAATAACGGGCAAAATATAAACAATATTTAATTCAAAAATCACGTTTAATCATTTTTGACTTGAGTATTAAAATATATTGTGTACACTGTACAGCGTTATCGGTACCTACTTGTGGAAAATTAAAAGAAAAATAATGTTCTGCAAAAAATAATTAGTTTTTGTTTTTCAGGTTATTTAAAAATCGATTTATACTACAGCATAAACTTATACTACATATATACAATTTTTCTCAAAAATCTGTAGTCAAACATAATTTTGATTAGGTACCGATATTTATATTTTTATCATACTACTACTATGCACGTATAATACTTTCTTACTGTGTTGGTTTATACTGTGTTTGGTTTGGACTGTACTGGTTTGAACCTACTATCCACATATTTGCATCGAATCGTTTATTTAAAAGTTTTAACTTTTAGTTATAATAATTCCTGTAGACCTGCGATTTCTCCGTCTCCACTATGCACCGAACCCACTTTTATTGCATTTTTCGTTTAAACAGCCGCAAGTGTAAACATTTTTTTTCTATACATAAAACGACATTTTAATAACTTTGCAGTTTTCTCTCTATATTCAACTGTTTGATTCCGTTCAAATAATACTTCAACAAATAATAACGCATTTTGTTGTTTACTGTGTTAGCGTTCATGTTTAAATTTAATATATACGCTAGTTCTTTTTTAGTTTAAGAATCTATTTTGTCATTTTATTATTACATTTCAAGTCTTAAGCACGTTAAGAAAGCAATAAAATGTATTTGAAAATCATAATCTTGTTTTGTTTAATGCACTTTTTTCTCTCGGTCAAATCAGAAGATCCGATTGAAGTTGAGGTAGGTAATTATAATTTTTTCAAGTATAACTGAAAATTATTAAAAGTTAATTGACGCTCGACTGTACGCTTTAGTTGTATTGAATGTTTTTTTACGTTTAGCTCTTCCTATACAGTTTTAATAATGCACTTGGCTGTTTTAGTTTTATACTCTGCTTGATTTCTTACTGTATTGGTTGCATAGCTGAAAAGTGTACATGCATAATTACAATTTTTAAATGATTAGTATTTTAAAAACATGTTCTGGTTAAAATTTAAAATATTGCAGTTTGATGTGTGTTTAGAAACATTGCATTACTATTATTTTAGGTTATATATTACATATGGAAGGAAATCGTTCATGATTATTTCAATACTGACTTCGATACAATTAATTCTTTATTGCCTAATTTTGCCAGAGAAAAAGTTAACGATTGGCGTACAAAAAATACACCAGGTAACTGTTATAATATAATATACATAAATATATAAATGTTTCTAGAAATATATACATAATGTCATAGAGATACGACAATTTATAAAGGGAACCGTATAATATTTTTACTTAGTACTTGTAAGTGCAGTAAGCATCAATAATAAAATATTTTATTACAAAATAACATATGCTAGTGCTAACTTGACTTGACTTTGACTCGAATACAGAACTGAGATATCCTTCACTGTCTTAAAGTGTTTTTCGTAACACCCAGTTGTTCGTATAGAATGTACCAGAAAAGTATTTTTATAATGATTATCATATAGTGAAAAATAAAATATATCATATATTAATATGATGATTCAAATTAGACTAATTTCATGGCTATAATCATGTTTTACTGGTCAACTGACAACAATAGATTCACCATCTAAAATTAAATATGGTTTATTGATCGGATAACCATTTAGCCAATTAAAAAGAAAATTATTTTTAGTTCTTTTCTTTTTTTATTGTGTACAATAATTTTAAGATTTAGAAACACAATATAATTTTTGTTTAGTTAGAGAGTAAAATGTAAAACTTTATTAAGACCTCTAAAGCAAACTGTTAATACATAATATGTTTTATTTCTTTAAGAAATGAGTATGAACTACGACACAGTTAAGAAAATGTGTAAAGACATCTTCGGATGGACTGATATGGTAAATTTAAATATAATTAATAAGATAAAGTATTGTAATAATTTTTCGGAAATCACATAAGGTAGATGATATGTTAATAGTGCACATTTTATTATGTTCTGCAAGACAGTATAATAAAAATAATATACTATTTTATTAAATTATATCACTACAATTTGTGATAATCTATAATAATTTATTGTTTATGTTATGGTACTGTATACAATTTTAGGATGTACAAAATATATGGGTGCCTACAGAATATAATGGTTATGTCAAATTGGATAATATGGATTCTGAACTAATTTCTAATGTGGCTAAAAAAGATATCAGGGATTGGATCAAGACAAATATAACAGGTAACTATTATATATATATATATATATATATATATATATATATATATAAACTATTCTAAACTCTTTTTTACAAACTTTAATAGATATATTTTTATTTATTTTAGCAATAAGTGTGAACTACGAAACATTTAATAAAATGTGTAAAGCCATCTTCGGAAAGAGTGATATAGTAAATTGAAATATAGTTAAGAAGACAAATTACTGTAATATTATATCGCATACATTTTTACCTGCCAAAATTTTAATTTGCAAATTATTGCATACAACTTTGTATTGTTCTTTTGTGTTTATGGTATAATGGGTGTTTTAAAGTTCAGTAAGGGTTCAATTTTCTGTTTTAATGTTCCGATTTGGCATGACCTCGGAAAAATATTAAAGACTGGCTATTGGACATAAATATAATTAGTAATTATAATTATAATTTTTATATAATTGTTTTATCAGTATGCGGTAGGATAAAGTGTGTGTATCGTTAATTATAATCTAAAAATCAATTACAAAAATTATATAGTAGGTACTTTGTTATATTACACGAGTTTAATTTATGATCTATATTAAATGATTGATACCTATCATTGTTTATTTGTAATAATTTTAGGAAATATATAATCTTTGGATGAAAATGGAACGTAGAGGTAGTTTTATTGGCTTGGATACAATTATTAACGAATTCGTTTGTGATGAGGCCAAAAAAGATATTAAGTATTGGGCTATGGACAATAATACAAGTAACTGTTGTTTATAAATATAAAAGTAATAAGAGCATATTATACAAGAAATACTGATAATTTATAAACATATATAATATGGAATAATATAGACCCATGTGCTTAGGTATTTTTTTAGACAAACCATTAGGGTCCAGATAAAATTTACCTTTTATTATCTCAAATAAAACATGGTTGTCTGGATCGAACAATAACTTCTATTTGTTTTAATCGTGTAAAATAATATTAAATTTCAAAAATATATGTTTTATTTAAGAGATATTTAGTTAGATAGTAAAATATGAACTTTATTGAGACCACTGAAGCAAACCATTATTACAATTTTTTGTTTATTTTAGCAAGCAGTGTGAATTTTGCAAGATTTGAGGTAATGATGAAAAGTATTTTTAGTAAGGCCGATGGAGCTGAAATTGTTAAATTCATAAGCGATCCTGACACACTTGATTCTTCTAAAGTAAAAGTAGACTAAAGTAGTAAAAACTAGATTTCACTCGTTAATTACTCTTCAAATTTGTTATAAGCTTATTATTTAACAGTTATCATAAACACAACATTTTTCACTTTATCTAAATAAATGTCAATACAAAATACATTAGTGATAATTGTTACTATAAAATATTTTATGACTTAATATTTAGTTACTTGTATATAAATAAACTAAATAAAATATAATATGTATAAGTATAATACTAAATTATAATTTGTATTAAATAATAAAAAAATATTGAATCAAAACAATACATTTTTTTGAATTTATATTATTCTCCACATAAAGTATAAAATCAATAACTTCTGCTATAAAACAAGTCTTTGGATATATTTTTACTTTATGTGTACTTATAGATGATCATTTTAACAACTATCTAATACTGAAAATGTTGAAATTACAATCATTATAGTTTGTCTATAGATAAACAGTGTCAGTTACAGAAAACAAATTTAATGTTTTCAAAATATTGTAAAAAAAAGTTTAAATTCTACTAAGACAGAAAAATGAAATATTTATTTTAATATGTTAAACAAAATGTTATTAAAATATAGATAATATTACCATGGTATTTAGTAAAACATTGCAAAAAATTCTAAAAACACTTAAAACACAATTTTTATAATTAGATATGTGAACAAATATTTGAATCTTTAATTATTTAATAATTTATATGCAATATTCAATAGATGAAATAATTACAGTTTTGTTGTAATCACAACTTACATAATACATTGTACAAGGAGGGTTTCTATATAATTTTAAACATCGTGAACAACTTTTCATTACTATAAAATATTATTATTGTACTACGTGGAATAATATCAAATAATATAATATTATAATGTAATGATGTACACACAAAGCATGTGAAATAATCATAAATTTCTAGAGTATTTAGTGTTGCATAATAATATAACCTAATACAGGTATGATTAATTTCTTTTAATGGACAATTTTTAATTAAAATAAAAATAGTAAATAATGTAGTAATATATTTCAGGTATATCCGCTAGGGTTATAAACTTATAATAATATTGTTATAAACTTTTAAAAAATTAACGAGTTACAAAAAAGCTTTGAATACCAAAACTTTGATTTTTTTTAAAAAACTTTGCCAAATTGGGAAATTAAATGATCATGTATTGGCTTTTTATTAAGACAATATTAATCGTTATGATTAGTAAGTAATAATCATAGTAGTATTTCGACTCTAAAAAAGTATACACTTCACACTTAAAAAAATTGTCCTGTTTGATATGATTTTTTTAATATACATGTATATCAAACAAGCAATACATAATATGTTGGTTATCTATCTCATTTATCATTTTAACAATGTATAATGTTACGATTGTCATATCAGTAAAATCTTTTTTTGCTAATAAAAATCATTAAAAGTTCATTGTGAACCCGTTTTTATCGTTATACATTTATTGTGTTTTGATGCTTAAATTTCAAGTTAAAATTACTAAAAACAAGTTTAAAGTACAATTAATGCGTTGAATTACTTGTGAACTAGGTAAAAAAAATGTGTAAAACACATAGATCCAACCTATTTATATGCGATTACTTTTGGAGCTGTCGAGTATCGAATATTACTTTTGCTATTAGTATAAATTCCAAATTGTTCAAATATTAATGGACTATAATATGCAAACGTAATTTGTAGTCCATTTGTACAATGTGAGATAATAAAACAAAACGTATTATAATTTTCTATGTTTATATAGACATTTTATCTCGGACGAACCATCACACCCAATGCCAACGTGACGTGAAATTTAATAACCATTCTATTCGACTGTCAAAACGCTCTGTTGGCTTTGTACAACATGTAAATTACACAAAGTTGCAGTGTTAAAATGGATGCATTGCATTAGATCGGTCGATAACAATATTTATTGATAATGTTGCTAAAAAATAAAAAAAATACCGCAAAATAAAGCATTGGGTGATTTATAAAGCCCGACAGTGCGTTATGTAATTTGAAAAAAAATAAACGGACATGGGTCCAAACCGGCTACAGGGTAATTTCCATTAATGGTATTACTCTATTTTCGGGGCATTCGTGTCCAAAAGAATTACTATGCGTGCGAAAAAACTCCAAGCACAGATGAAACTTTCGGATAACGTCGGAGACAAGCGCGGCAATTTTTTTTAGTGCTTCGACAATGAAATGAAGTAAATATATATATATATATATATATATATATAAATACACCCTACATATAGAATGGTTTTTTGTTTATATAGTTGTCACAAATGCGACCGTCAATAGTGTGGCAATCATCGCAGTATATAATAATAATATGTCCGCGTATTATAATAAATTTAAAAAAACTGTCAGAGTAATAACAATTTCCGAAAGTATCGAACGACAACGCTGCCAGCGCCAGAAACGCAATTATGATATCGTGTAATATTATTTTGCTTAATGTATAGTATTTGTTTTGGCACGTATTACAGTGTAGCACTTCGTAATACGTATAATTATTATTTATATGGACCGGGGAGAGGGTAGAAAAATTATACATGGGGGAATGTGCGGTATGGTGTACAGGGTGCAGGGGCAATGCGGGATCCTTGAAATAACGGAGAGAGACATAATAATTATGTATGAACCCCTACAGTGACGGCAAAGCGAGAAAAGTATCGAGGGTGGAAAATATATTATAATGTTTACCTGCGAACGCTTTCGGGTAATGTATTTCAATTATAAAACACTACTAAAGTGTGCATAATAATAACATGTTGATATCGTAGAACAGCCGTGTGATTTAAAAACATTAAATCAAAAACCGAAAGATAGCCGAAAGACCAAACTATAATAGTGCGTTTTGGACGGGAACGAGTTTTAATAAAACAGTGTCGTATTTTATGTGAAACGCGACAGCAGAAAAATAAAGGATTATATTTTCAGCAGTGTATACGTCGGTCGTATCAACCCATAAAGCACTCATATATTTTAATGTTACACGAGAAGTCTGGGACTTCCATACTTTGTTGGGTTTTACTAGACGCACAGCAATATCGACTTTCTTCGTTGTTATAAATGTCTCGAACGGCGAACTGCAATATTGTTTTATTGGCTTTTCAAATGTCGCATTTCGAGTATTTCATACACACAACCGTAGGTAACACAAAAGAAAACTTTTTCCCAGAACAATTTAGTTTCACTGCTGTATTATCATATTCTACTTTATGGAAAATGTACAAGTCAAATTGAATTGTAATTGAATAAAGAAACGAGCGACGCGTATTGTACAGATATGCACAGCTACCAAGCCGCGATTGTACACAGTATACCTTTGCAATCTATTTAAGTCTTAAGAGGGCGTCGCACCGGTGATTTTCAGTGGTAAAAACATGTTTAAGCAGACTGAAAATGACTCGTTTAATTTTGATTTTAGAGTAAAAGCACCCATTATAAAATTTAAAGAGAACAATATTCCGGAGGACAAGAAGGTGCGTTTAAAAAAAAAAAAAATTATTTTTTGAAAAGTTACAGTCGTTTGAAAATGTTAAAATAGTCGTTATTTCTAAACTATGTATTGAGCGTTATACTTGGAACAATGAAAAAAACGCACCGTTTTGCCTTCCGGAATGTTGTTCTCTTTTAATTTTATAGTGGGTGTTTTCACTCTAAAACCAAAATTAAGTGAGTTATTTTCAGTCTGCTTAAACATATAGAGATGAAAAAACATTTTTAAATCGCTTTCAAGGATGCTGTGATAGTCCAAAAAATAAATTAACTATCAAAATAGAGTCCTAGTTGTTGAACTAACAATTACACATCACAGTTTAACCTTTAAATTAAGATTTTGTAAAAAATTGCCTATACTTTACTCCTTAAAAATGGGCGTTGCGACGCCCTCTTAATAGATTGACTCAGCAGTCCGAAACGTGAGCGAAAAACCCAAAAATAACTACATCATTAATTGTCGTAAATATTCGTCATCGATCAATCAGTCAAAAACTTAAAAAATGCAATCAAACTGTTGTGTTGTTTTTCCATGTCAATTTTTATGAAAATCACAACAGTTTGGATTTCACAGTGTTATATAGTAACTGATCGTGCGACATCATTTAATTGCCGATACAAGTATATTGTATATGTATGTGTTATTATGAGGCGAAAGCCGTGATAGCATTTATATACACTGGCTTTGGTTTGACTTTGCATCGGCGTTTTACGGTTATTTTCGCTGTGCTTTACTGTCGTTTCACTTAGAATTTTCCTAGTCTCAGCGTTCATTGTATGCGACTTTTTTTTTTCCACCCAGCGTGTCGCACGTTTACATGTAAATTCGTCGTTAGCACAGCGGAACCATTCTGATGCGGAAACGGAACGGCCTCGTTTGGGGGGTGCGGAATAGACGGGACGCAGTTATAACAAACCGGAAACTCGAAGCATTCGAGTTGATTTCAAGTATGCGTGCGTTTGTCGTAAGAAAATATTATTACGTGTGGAGGGGTGGGGACGGTGGCAGTTGAGTTATCCGTTATTATGATATTATTATACCCTCGAGCTCGTTACGTTACGATTATCTTAAACATGTTCAAGGTCCAACATTAAATGTAGGAAATTTGTAAAATGTAAAATCACCTTAAACAAAGTCGACTGACTCGAGTATCTCGTATTCGACTGTCAAAAGCTCAAAGCTCTCATTTAGCTTGCCGGCCAACCTGGTTAAAAACTAAACAACAATGTCTCAATACTTTAACGAAGATTTGCTTACATCATTAATGTTGTTGTCTTTAATTCACTTTACACATCCGTGTATTTTCGTACATGACATAACACATCGACCCACTTTTTCTTTGGTCTACCTCTAAATGCTTTTACACTAATCTCTCTTGACCGTTTTACTATTTTGAGCAATATTTTATACGCCTTTATAGTTTATGCTTAACAATAAAACGGGTAAAAGAGATTAGTGTAAAAGCATTTAGTGGTACACGTAGACCAAAGAAGAATTGGGTCGATGTTATGTTATCAACAAAGATACATGTAAAGTGGGTGTG